TACACAACAAAAATTGGGGGTTTTACATTTCATTAGTTGATGTACTCCAAGTCTTGCATTTGTAAAACTATTCACTTTTCTGGGAACTAGCATTTTGTAGGTCATGGATGACCCTGAAGGCCTTAGACACCTTCTCTGCAAAGCATGATACATGAAACAGCTCCAGAACTAAAAGGGCTCAGGAACAGAGCACTGCGCAAAATGTAAGCACAGCTAAGTCCCATGAATGTGTAAGAGACCTCGGGAAGGGAGACATGTTTAGGGTGTTACTTGTGGAAACAGCACACACATCAGAGATGCCAATATAATCATCCATCCAGGCAGTGGCTTCCTTAGCATGGTTTCTGCGTAAAAACTACTTTTGCTTAAAAAAAAAAAATCAGATTAAGATTCTTGATGGGCCTGGCACAATAGCATAGTGGTTAAAGTCCTCGCCTTGCACATGCCAGGATCCCATATGGATGCCGGTTCTAATCCCAGCTGGCCCGCTTCCCATCCAGCTCCCTACTTGTAGCCTGGGAAAGCAGTCCAGGATGGCCCAATGCTTTGGGACCCTGCACCTGCGTGGGAGACCTGGAAGAGCTCCTGGCTCCTGGCTTTGAATTGGCTCAGCTCCAGGCATTGCGGCCACTTGGGGGGGAGTGAATCATCGGACAGAAGATCTTCCTGTCTCTTCTCCTCTCTGTATATCTGCCTTTCCAATAAAAAATGAATAAATCTTAAAAAAAAAGATTCTTGAAAAAGAGGTCCAATAAAGTAGACCCCTTTTTAAAATGTTTAACAAGTATTTTTTTCAATTCATGAATTGATAGATTACAGCTTACCAATTATTTAACTCTGACGCTTTAAAACATGAAGAAATCATTGCTTGACATCACATTGAAGCTTGGGATGCTATCAAATAACATTTGTATAGAAAAATATTAAAACCCCAAGACCCAGATATGACAACCTAGTGGCTAAATTCCTTGTACTGCAGCCACTGTGATCCCATGTCAGCATTGGTTCGTGTCCCAGCTGTTCCACTTTCCACCCAGCTCTCTGCTTGTGTCCTGGGAAGGCATGGGAGGATGGCCCAAGGCCTTGGGACCCTGCATCCATGTGGGAGACCCAAGCGAGTCTTCTAGCTCCTGGGTTCAGATCAGCTCTAGCTATTGTGTCTGCTTGGGGAGTAAATCAGCAAACGAGGAATCTTTTTCTTTTTCTCTGTTGGATCTGCCTTTCCAATAAGAAAAACAAATATTTAAAAAAAAAAAAATAAGAACCTCAAAAGATAATTTCAGCCTAAACAATAAACAAATGTGTTATTCTTTCTTTTGTTGGCTTATAAGGAAGATCATGAGTGAGTGAAACAAAGTGTAAATAAGTTTTTTAGTCACAATGGAAATATTAGAATCTTCATAAGATGCCCAAAATGACCTTTTTTAGATGTATTCTTAGCTAATCATGTTATATTCTCATTTATTATTTTTTATGCTTTTCAGTTAGCTCTTTTTTGGGTTTAGGTTTTCTTTCATGGTGCACTTGACTTAGATACCATACTTAACGAGAAAATGGTTTAAGATTACTAGGAAAGGCATTGGGAAGAGGTGGACGTGATTATTTTTGCACTGAAGGGTTAGAACACGGATGGCTGTAAGCAGGAAAACACTATTGTTTTCTTCATTTCCTTTTGTCTTCTCAAAGTCTGGAAATGAACTCGTTGCACTGAGTAATGGCTTAAGTAAATCATTCTGTATATAACAGCTTTTGGTTCTAAAGGCAGATAATGCACAGCATTACTCACTGGCTGGTTCCCCACAGGTAACAGCTAAGTGTCCAGTGTGAATGATAGGGGTACAGTTACTTGAACCATTGTAGCTTCATCTGAGTAAGCTGGAGTGAGGAGGCTGACCAATCAAACACAGGAACTGTGGGATCAAGGCCTAAGCAGCGCCTTAATCTCTAAAACATAATGTCTTCTCACCTTATATACGCTTAGGAGCCTGCCCAGCTTTACCTGTGACTTGTACTCAAAGGGTCCATGTGTTGGACATGTGGCCTTTCATGTGATGTTGGGGGTGGGATCAATCAGAGTTCCTGAGGGCAGGATGCACTTCTGGGCTCCTGGCTTCTGCCTGGCTCAGCCCTGGCTATTGTGACCACAGAGGAATCAGTGTATGTAAGATATCACCCCTCACCCTCTCTCCCTCCTATTTTCCCAATTACTGCGCCTCTCAACTAAATAATTTTTAAAAATCAGCCAAGGCTAAGCAGAAAATGGAAAACTAGAAGAAATTGTATAATACTGTCATTATATTTTAGAGTATGATATGAGGAGTTCAGACATTTCTTTGATGTGACTATAAACAAAAATAACTCCAGGAGGCACTTGTTAAATAGATGCCCTTGGTTAACCTGTGTTGCATCACAGTGTGGCATGCTCCCTCCCACAATGAGAAGCAGTTTGTGTCCATTTTGCTCCACTTCCAATGTAACTCCCAGTTAATGAGCCTGAAAAAGCAGGGGAAGATGGCTCCAGTGCTTGAGGCCCTGCCAACCACAAGGAAGACCTGGAGAGAATCCCAGGCTCTGGGTTTCCAGCCTGGTCAAGCCCTGGCTGTCCTAGCCATTCAGGGAGTGAACCAGGAGATGGAATATATCTCCCTTTCCATCTCTCCCACTCTTCCTATAATTCTGTCTTTCAACAAATTTCTTTAGAAAATAAGCAATAATGCCAACACCAATTATAGGCAGTTGAAAGCTCAATCCTTCAGTGTTACACTATTTCACTATGTGTTTTGACGTTCGTATTTAAGTTGCTTACAGTCACACAGACGTTCATTCTTAAGAGCAAATGAAACTGCATTGCTGTCTGACTGCTCATCCATAATTCAGAATCCCAGCCTAAAACGTTAGGCTCCAACAAGCACAAACATTGGCAAAGGTGAAATATTGAACTGCTATGGTAGAAGCTGAATTCTGTAGCAATCTGTGTGTGCTTTGATTTTCCAGCACTAGAAACAAAAATTTAAAGCAGAAGAGTGAACGATTATAGAGACAGACTAAATAAGCAAGGTAGTAAAGACAAGATTCAAGAGGTACATACTCTTCGTTAGCTATGAATAAATCTCACAGTAAAATCTGAGAAGGCACAAAACAAGGTAAAAATAGCTGCTAATTATCTATTCGCACACAAAACACAAGGAGAGGCAGAGTCTAAAAGAATGTTCTCAGACATTTGAAAATAGGAACTGACTCTGTTTAATAGAAATTTAAACAAATTTTTTGGTTTGAAGGAACAAGCAGGTAAGTAAGATTCCTGAACATCTGTGATGGAAGACTGACTGTGGCCCCGCTTTACACTCAAAGCAGCTTCAAAGATGTACAATGAAAACGAACAGACCACACACTCCTCGCCCACAACATCAGCACAATTCATCCAGCTCAGTTGGTTAGCAGACATCAGCACCAGGTCAGTTTCACTTCCTGCCTTTTCAACTTGCTTCTAGGGATTCAGGCTAGAAGCTCTGTATTTGTGGTTGTGTAGACCTTACATTTTGTAGGTATCAATAATTTACTCATGAAGAAATTGTTGCTAATAGCTAATGGTATCTAGTGCTGAGGAATGCTGCCTCCTCCTCCTTAATTTTAAGACTAACTCTTCTGACTGGATCAGGTATCCTTGTAACATGTTTTAACTACTATGTAGGAAGGAAAATTGAAATGGTCAATCACATCATCTCATAAATTGTTAACTATGTTAGCACAAAATTCATAAAATCATTAATGTTCTTCACAAACACTGAACAGTTGGAAAAAATTGCAACAAATATTTGCAATGCAAAGTTATGTGAGTCTTCTCATCCAGTTTTCTTCCAGGAGTAATTGGACAGCTAAACCTATCATAGCATTCATAATTTAGTTTCACAACAACCCTTAAAAAGAGTAAGCCAAATGGAATTCGGCCATGCTTTACAAAGGAGGCATCTAGAAAAAGTATGTGTTAAATAAGTCAACCACTGTTATGGTCCTGTGCATGAGGGGAATGGGGGCCACAGATTTTGGTCCCATTTTACACGTTTCCCAAAGACCTACGCTCACTCACTCTCTCTCTGTTAATAACTGCCTTCATAACAATTGCCTCCACCGATCAAATCATGATCAGAATGAAGTGAATGAGTATGGGATTCTAACTGAACCCTTTCAAATATTCTCTAAAACTTTTCTTTATTGTGTGTGTGTACACATCTATATAGTGTGTGTATATATAAATTTATATGTTGTATATATACACACTATACATACACATGACATATATATGATCTATATCATCCAGGAAAATTTCACATTTAATATACATAAAGGAAAATTTGCTCCAGGACCAAACTATCCTGTCCATACTGCTCTATGAGCCCTGTAGGTTACTTTTCCATCATTTAGCAGATGATGCTGCCGAGATATGAAACAGCACAGCAGACAGAGGAACAGAATCCAAATTCAACTGCTTCATCAATGTAAGTCAAGATATACAACCTAGGTTCCTTGGTACTGGACAGATGCGCTCCGTTTCTTAGCCTGTAAGAAAGCTCTTCAGATGTTAGTTCTACCTAACCAGAGTTCTACTGCAATGACAAGGTGACTGTCAAACAGCCGGCTGAAGAGAACCACTCACATCACAAACCAGTCTAGGAACACAAAAAGGACTCCCTTGATTATAGGAGCTGTTGGCCAACTTGCTGATTGCTGGTCAGACATGTAAGAACCCACGGTTCTATCAATCTTATTTTCTAAATGGATAGTGAATAACCATTAAAGTCACACTAATGCAGACAAAAAATATAAGCAGGATCTTTGTCTTATTTCTATATATAGAGTATCTTGCATCAGCACAGATTAAGACATTAGAATAGCAGTTGTCCATTCTACAGTTTAAAATCCAAATTTAGTAGATTCAGAGCTGCGTCAGTACTATAACTTAAAAACGTCAGAAAAATAAACCTGGCAACTCTGCCCCTTACCTTGCAACCTCTGCATGACATTGGCAATGTCCCGAGGAGACCTTGAAGCTGCTCTGGAGGTTGCCATGGTCCTTCCTGTAGCATGAGACCAATATCACAAGAATGTCCACCAGAGACAGAGCAGGTCTGTGCTGGTCCAGAACCCAGGTGAACCGTTCCAGATGTACCACGTCGTCATCAAGCCCAAGCAGTTGCAGAAGTCAGTGGTGAAGAGGCCGCTTTCTCAAAAATTACACCATTCCTTTTCTCAACTCAAGGACCTGAAAAGCAGGAAAAAGTACAACATATGTATAAAATATGTAGACAAACATAGTACTAATGGGGGCATATTTCTACTCAACCCACTATCCCGACTCACCATCAAGTGAAATAACACATGTGAAAAGCCACTTACTACAAAGCAAATTGCAAGTGTTCCTATGATACTTCATAGCATGCACAAATGGAATAGAGTAAAATCTCCACAAGGAGACTCGTTCGCTTTATTCACAGGTTCTTCCTAAACTAAAAACTTTCTCTAGCATCCTGGGAAGGTAAAAGCACTTGTGGACAAAATAGTGAATTTTTTATTTCTCTATTCACAGGTCCCCTGTGCTCTTTTACCTTATTTGAAAATCTACATATATTTTTGCTTCACTAAAAAAGTTTTGAAAGGTAGAGTTAAGGAGGAGAAACACAGATTTTCCATGCACTGGTTCTCTTCCATAAAGGATGCAATGACCAGGGATGGGCCAGGCTGAAGCCAGAAGCTTCTTCTGCATCTCCCATGTGGGGGAAAGGGCCCAAACGTTGGGCCACCCACTGCTGCTTTCCCAGACACATTAGCAGGGATTAAAAGTAGAGGACCAGGTACTGAACGGGCACCCATATTTTGCTTTACTTTTAGATGCTTTCTGGGAACGTCACCTCTTATCCCCCAAGAATACATGTAGATGAGTTAAAACATTGTAAAAGTAAAAAACTTTCATTGTAATAATTTGAGTTTTAAGTATCATAATTTTAGAAGTCATTCTAATTTAGTTTTTCTCCTCAACAGCAAGTTGATACCCAGTGGACTCTGTCCTTCAAACTCCTTCCTGAATCTTCTGCATCAGTCAAATGTAGTTGATCACTCTGCACTGGGGGGGGGAGAAAGAGGGTAGGCCTGAAGGTGATGAAAGCTTAAACCTACAGTCATCCAAAGAGGCAGTGGTCTCACCCTCAACAAGCCAACCATCGGTCAGCAAACAGTGTACCCAGAGAACAGAACTTAACCAAAAGGACCGAACCAAAGGCGTTCATGCAAGAGTGGTACTTTTTTACAATTCACACTGCATCAATAGGCCATAATGATGCTGTCCTGAAAGAGAATGAGTGAAGGGAGTAAAGGAATGGCTAAAGGAAATCCTAAAGAAAGCACAAAACACATAGGAGACATGAGTCTCCTCCCTGAAGGAAAAGGAACAAGATTTCATGAGTGCTATGAAAAGTATGCCTGGAATGTGTGGTCCATAAAGCAGCATTATTTATGAAAGGCTAAGAGGATGAAATTTCATTTTTAAATGGAATTGTCAATACTATCATATCGAAATTTACTTACACAAACGCAAAACTAACAAAACAGGAAACCATTGCACATGACTGCTGAACTGTGTGAAGAAACAAAGGACAGGAACCAGGAGACAGCACTAACTGTTCCCCGGGCAACTTCGGGGCAGCGAGCCAGTGGACAGTGTTAACAGGTAGGAAGGTAGAAGCATATCTGTGGGCATCTCAAAAGGACAAGAGAGGTGGAACTCAATACTTGACTCCTTCTGGGCTAGACAGTTGCCTTTTGGTGGGTGACTACCAGAGGAGAAATAATTCCATCTGTCCAGGCTGCCACAAAGCAATAACTGTAGCTCTGCTGAGACTGTATGCTCAGAAGCAGCCTCTATCTCCTAGGGAAATATATTTCACCTGTTTATGTATTAAGGCTAGATTTCCTAGGGGAAAAGTGCTTGGGGAATCTTACAAATGACTCCTCTAAGCTTTACAAGGTTAGGTTTTCCAAATGCAAGAATATGACTTTCTCAAATCTGCCTGACCGCTAGTCTGTTGATTACATTTATCTAGGCATGATGATGGGAAGAGGAGTTCACTGTTAGTTCAGCCATCTCATGCAAGGCCCTGCTTAGCATTAAAAGTTCACAGATGACTAAAACCATGACCCCAGTGTCCTTGATCAAGAATTGGAATAGACATTTGGTAAAGTTAAGACTCTGCTTGGGAGGACCACATTCCTCATCACAATGTGTAAGTTCAAATCCTGACTTAACTTCCTAGAAACGTATACCCTGGAGGCAAGACATGATTCAAATGCTTGTTGCTCTGCCACCCCTCTGGGAGACCTAGATTGGGTTCCTGGCTCCTTGCTTCAACCTGGCTCAGTCATGGCTGTTGCAAGCATTTGGGGAATGAACCAGTGGACTGGTTCATTCTCTCCTTTCCACATTCAAGTCAAAACATCCCTGGGTGTCTAGTACGCGTTCACTGTTACTTTACCTGCTCATGCTTTGGGTACTAAGATTAATATAATACAGACTCCATGCTTGAGGGGCTTAGAATAGGGCAGGAGACCTATCACAGCAAAAATGAAAAAACACCAAGGGTGAGTAACAATGTAACTACTAGAGAGGAGGGACAAAAAGCCAGTTGGGCTCTGGAAACCCATGTTGAGAGGCAGTTAACAGGTGAACTGATCTTGGTACCCGAGTAGGGTAAGATGAAACAACGTAAGACTTATACTGGTCAGAATGAATAGCTGGAGTATGGCATAGGAACAATACAGCATAGTTCATATATGGGATGGCTTAAGCTTAGACCCTACAGGATTCTACAAGTGTAAGGGAACTTCCAGATGGTGGAGACTCACTTTAAGCATGTTCTGGGCTCTAAGAAGCAACAGGAAGCCAAGGGGGGATTTGGGGCTAAGAGTGAGAAGGCAACTGAGATTACTGCAGCTACAGACTTTAAAGGTATAGCTGGGAATATCAAGACTGAAGATTCAGGAAGACAGCAGCAAAGTATCTCAGGAATCCAGGCAAGGGATAAGAAATAGGAAAAGAGGAGGAGGGGGGCCAGGGAGAGCAGGAGATAAGACCTGAGAAAGATTTACAGGATTGGGTATTGGTCAACCAGGGGTGAAGTGGGGTGGAGTAGAGAGGAGAAAGAGGAGGAGTTTCCAAGGTGGCTAAGGGAGGTTGAGGCACTTGAGAGTACTTTCAGAATCCACAGTTTACGGAGTTTTGCAGAACTGGGCTGCGCTGTTTTTACTCACCAGTGCTCAACCTCATCTTCTTCCTACACTCTTACCTTTGCTACAGGTCTATGGATCCTTGTTTACTGTCCCTTCCCATAACCCCCCTGCTTAGTCTTCCAGATGGACAAATCTGAAGTCTCCCTAAGTCCCTAATCCATAACCCATAACTCTGCACTTGCAACCTTCCCTAAACACAGGAGCACCTTCAGTATGATTTACTCAATTCCTCTAGCACCAACACCGATACTAAGAGAAACACAATTTGCTTTAAATGCATCTCCAGTACCACTCTTGTCAAAATCTAACCAGACTATGAACGTTTAGTTTCCATGATGTATTATTCTTTCTGCTTTAGCATTGCACCTGTTGATACCAAGCACATCCTTGAGTATGTTTTACATCTAAAAAGCAATGTCCCCAACCCTCTTCTCCAGTGCAGTTGCTGCAATATCCTTCCTTTTTCACACATGAAACCTTACACGTTTCCTATGTTGTGAAACTTTCTTGCTTTTTACTGATACTTTAATCTAGAATCACTTGTTTTTTTATATAAAATTTCAAAAGAATAAAATTGTAGATAACAAAGAGACTGGAGATTAGGACACATGAGTCTGGACTTTGACATTCTAGTTGGATGGTGTTGAGGTGAAGGTTGCTAATAACCACCCACTGGAGAGATTATGGGACCTGGAAATGCAGACATCAGACCAAGGAAATGTTGGTGTTTTAATTCTGCCTCTGACTGTCCATGTGACCTTCAGAAAACAGAGCTTGCTGATTACTGGTTTCTTTTGTGAAATAATGTAAACCAATCCTAAATTAAGTTCAATTTTATTTTACTCAAACTGAACTTAATATATGATGCCACTAGCAGGTTTATTGGCCCATGATAAAATTTCAGCAAATAACTGCTCACCCTCCTCTTCCATGACCTGTCCTCTACCTGAAATACAGCAGTTGCCCTCAAATAGAGATTTCAGAATGGGTCTACACCAGAACCAAGAGCATCAGCGGCAATGCCTATAATTACGATCGCTGCAGGCTTGTGAGATCTCTGCACTGATTTCATAGCAGTGGTCTGGTAGCAACAGGACTTACAGAACGGAGCACCGCAGGAGGATACAGAGCTACCGGTGAACTCACTATTCCAAGGGTTATTAGGATTTTCATTGATAAAGGATGTTATGAGGCTGGGGGTGGGGAGGAATCAGGAGTGAATCTAGCTGTTGTAACATAAGAATTAAGTAGAAATCTGTGGGTTGTGTACCACTTAATATTTCCTTCAATGTCCCCAAGTCTGTCTAGGAAAAGGAAATATTACAAAGGGAGCTAAATAAATCCACCAGACTTACCAGGAAGACAAGGAACCTGCTATATATAGTGGCTATATAACAACAGCATATATTGGGAAACTATCTGTAACAGACAATGGTATTTAATAAGTAGGGATGAAATGACAACCAAAACCCTTTTAGGACCCACATGCCAGAGGTGGAGGGGGATGATATAAAGAATGTTGAAATAGGATGAAAGGAATGGAGATGTCTACTGCAGGAGCCAACAGAACATCCCGTCGATCATCTACTGAAGGCACTGGGGGAAAATGCAGGATGTTTGTGGATCTGGATCACGTCATCCTCGTTGACACGAACACGTGTGTAACGCACAGCCGGGAGCGAAGCATCATGAGGAGAAAGGCACCAGAAGTGCTCCTAGAACACATCTTGAAGCATTGCAGTGGATTCACAGCCATTAGCAAACTGCAGCAAAGAAATGACAAACCCTGCAGAAATCTGAGATGGGGTTCAGCTCTAACTGAAAAAATAAACAGGCAAAGCAGAAAGAAGTATGGGTACAGTCGCTGGATAAATGTCTCAACACTTACAATAGCATTACTGAAATCCACTGTTAACAGTTTTAGAAGCTATGAGTAGCCTTTTGCCAAATTCACTTAGGGTTCATATTTTCAATTTTGTTCCCCATTCACTCCTTAGCAATGGTACTAATCAATAAACACGAAAATAGCTGCAAGGGAGAGAAACATGCCCCTGTGTTAATATTTTGCTCATGTAAGTGAACACACAAGTTATCAGTGAGTAACGCTACTATTATGAATTAGATGAGAAGAAGTGATTTTTAAGAAGATTATGAACAAGTACATAAGACAAACTATAGCACAGACCAACATGACAGTGCCACAGTTCGAGGTCTTTGTAAGCCTGGAGTAGGAATTACACCCAAAGATTTCTCCTACTTTCTTTCCATGGAGGATATATCACACCCCTTGCCAATACTAGTTTCATTAGTTTAAGCCACAGGGAAGAGAACATTCCAGAGAAGGAGAAAGCTAAGTGTCCCCATGCATCTTGGGCAGAGGGAGCAGCTGCAGCAGTGAGCTGCCAGCCAGCCCGGCCACCAGCTTTTGGCATGCTGTTGAGGTTATAGTCCCTTCTGCTGCAAAGAGGCTGCAGCTGCTGCACCATGATCAGAGAGCAGGCCCTGGTGGAGCAGCAAGCAGCCTCGAGCATTTTAAAGCACGCTTTTTCCAGTGCCCTTCCCTGGGAGGCCAGAATCAAGTTAAAGTTTTTACACAGGAACAGCACACAAAACAAACCAGTTTGTGAACAAACAGAAAGAAGCAAAGATATTTAAACAAAAATGTTTTCTCAAAGGCCAACAATATTGTTATCTGGGTCAGTGTGATGTTGCTGTATCTTCAGCATGAAGCATATGAAGTTAGTAGTGACCTGGCACATTTTGTTCTAAATCGGCCACAAAGTAATGAACAGGGTCAAAAGCACAAGAGAAAATGGACTTTTGTTACATTACTCCCTTCTAGGGACGCCAGGCAAGCAGTCCTTTAGACTCATAATGAAGTCAGCGTTTGGGGCAGATGCAGGACATATTGATAACCTTGGCGTGGTTGAACCTTATGATTTCTGACAAATGCTGCCTTTAACAGAGCTGTTCTGGTGTCAAGATAAAAACGGGATTTAAAGATTTAAAGAGAAAACAGCAGTTCGTCTACTTTTTAAATGTTCACAGAAATTTTTCGGATCAAAGTTCTCCACCCCCACGGTGTGGCTCAGAAATGAGCGGGGGGGGGGTGGCGGGGGGGAGTGGCGGGGGGGGACCAGGGCACTAAGGTTTCACAGCTGTTCTTGCTCCCCGAGCTGCACCTGCCCGTCTTTATGCTAAGGGCTCCAACTTCAGGCATCCAGACGCGGTTAGCCCAGCCAGCACCCAGCCCCCTTTCCCATGGGGGTCCCCTGCCGGTGTCCCACGGGCATTCTGCACTATATTCTGGCCCTTTGCAATGCACCAGCTCCTGCGGAACACAATTTCCAAGAACTCCCTCTAGAACACATCTCTCCCCGGAGAGGAGATGAAAGTTACCTTGCTCTCTAGTGAAAGCTCTGCCTGAGAGCAAACGCACCATGACAGCGCCAGAGCTGGGCGCCGGGTCGGCCTCCATGCAGCCCCCAATCCCCTTCCTCGGGAATCCCTTCGCCTTCCCCAGCCAGCTAGTAGCGGCTTGCGGGAGGTGTTAGGGAGGGAGCCAGGTGGAGGAAAGGAAGCTCCTGGGATTTGCTTAACGCCCTTCATTTTCCATCTTAGAGTAGCAAATGGACCACCGGGATAGGAGGGTGGCTGCCTTTTGCTTCTGCACCATTGGAGCCGGGACGTGCCACCAGCGGAAATGACAACTCAAGAGAGGGTATTAATAGGATATCTACGTACAAGATGCCAGGAGGCTCCCCAGCCTGCCCATCTCCTTATCCAAGAGCATCACACACGTACACACCACCGTCGCCCCCTCCCTCCCGAGCAGGGCTCTCAGCCTGCATACAAGCACAAACTTGCCTACAATTTCTCTGCAACTGATTCGCCTTGCACCTGTTTCTCCACAATCTGTCTTGCTCGCCCGCCACCTTTGCCTTTACCTTCTCTCTGGGCCTCGTTCAGACTCCAAGCAGCGAGCAGACTCGAGCAAGCAAACGCCTCCTCCCGGCTCCCTGCCCCCTCCCCGGGCTGCGCGGGACGGCGCGGGTGCGCGGCGGTGCGTCGGCTCTGGCGCCGCCGGAGCGCGGGCGCGGTCAGCAGGGCTGCGGGAAGCCTCGCCGCCTTGGAAACCGAGTACAACAATCTCAGCCCCGCGCAGGGCCGACTCGCCCCGGCTGGCTCGCACACAGTCCCTCCCTCCTGCGCCAGGCTGCTCGCCACCCTCCCCTATGCTCCCCTCCCAGCACGAACTGTTCCTCCTCCCCCAGTGCACTGAGAATGAGGCCTCCACCCCCCCCCCCCCCCCGCGCCCTGCAGTTCTAGTCGGGAAAAGAAGGTCGCCCAGGCTGGCTCAGCCTCTGGGCAGAGGCCCAGCTCTCTACCGTGGCCCGCCACACCCCCTCCCCAGCCTGTCGCCCCAAGACGTGCCTGTCCCTGGCTTAGCTGAGGGTGGGGACCCAGCTCACCGGCAGGCATCCCCGTCCCCCTTACCTCCTGGTATGGTCTCAGCTCTTTTGCTCTGCAGCGCAAAGCCTCTCTGTGACCCACCCTCTCAGCGGCCCTTGGATGCTCCTGGGGTCAGGATGAGAAGTGCAGGTCCACAGTGCCAGGACCTACTGCCTGGAGGGGTTCTAAGGCTCTGGCTGGCCGCTAACTGCCCAGGGTTCGCACTGCGTGGTGACCTCGGTGAACAGAGCCATTCTTGAAAGCCTGGGAGGTTCCCTGACGGTCCTAGGAAGGATGTGATGCAGCTCAAGAAACGCCATAGTCTGCCAGCTCTTTGCAAATCAATCTCCACAAGGATTCCAACTGCTAACCTTGGGGCTGTCAAATCCGAGGCCCAGAACCCAGTCAGAGGGAGACGCCTCTTGCTTCAAAGTTGTATAGTTCTGTTCTTTATCGGGCTGAGAGGGCCTAGGCACCTGACACCTGAATGGTATTAAGGCTTGATTGCTTATTAAGAGGATGTCAAGCCACACCCTTAAGATTTTCACGCAGGTGCTTTGGGCTGCGGAGCCCTTTTAATCTTTCACCAGAAGCTCTTCTCAAGGAGCAAAAGAGATTCCAGGAGTTGCCTGGTAGCATTCAGGAGAATTGATTTTGTTGTGGTTTTACGGTTTCCAAGCAAAGTCAAACATAGTCTTTCCTCACTAACAATGATTGAAGTTATGTTGCAAGGCTCAAAGATAATAACCACTGCTCTGGAACCTTCAATGTAAAAAAATATAGTTTTTAATCCTTCTAAATCTGCTGAACGTGAGGATCAGTTTACACAATGCAGGAAGCTTCTCTTTGCCTCCTGCCTGTGCCTCACCTGTCACCAACATTCCCACTCTTTAGCTTTCCATTTTCATTAAATCAATTCTTCTGGGTCTCGTTAAAATGAGAACACATGAACTAAATCCAGTAAACCAACCTGATGAGTCTCTTTCCATGTGTCGGCACTTTGTTTAGAGACCAAAGAAATGATCTCCAGTTGTAGAACTTCGTGCCTCAGCAGGTGGGCCTGGAGAAGGAATGGCAGGTCCAATGGGCACATTCGCTTGCTTCCAACACTCACAATGACTGTCCAGAACTCCCTGGAGCCTAATGATACATAATTTTATGTTCCAGTAAACTCTTCTTAAGTGGGAAATAAGTAAGGCAAATACACATGTACCAGGCCTGTCTTATAGAACATTCCAGCCCAGCAACAGGGTTTCCTGAGAAATGGCCTGGTTTCCCCTGGGGCTGCATCACATTGGGAGTCCAGCCCCCTGCAGGCTGCACAGGATCTGGGGTTTTAGAACTAGCCCTAGGAAAAAATAGCAAAATTCAGAATTATCACCAGAGTTCCTACTGCATACATACTGTTTCTGCACCATTGTAAAGTTGAAAAATTGGAAATTAACCCATTGAATGCCAAAGTTCATCTCTGTGTCCCAGAACAGCACCCGGTCCAGAGTCAGATCCACCAACTTGAAGGCAAGGATCAGTTCTCCCTCTCAGTCCCTGTCTTCACAACCCATTTTCCCTTTTGGCTTTTGAGTATAAGGAAGGAAAATTTTCTACAAACTTGATTTTCTCTGTCTGCTTCCTTGGATTGGTTTAACTGGTAGTGATCACTCAAAACAAGTCTGAAACATTGCTCTCACCAGCCAACACTCTGCAATTAGACCCAACTTCTGTCTTCCCAGACTCAGATGGGCAAGAGCATATGGCTGTCTGGCTGGCGTTGGTTCCCTGCTGAGCTGAACTTATATTCTCATGTCAACTTTGTCCTCCAAAGGACTAAATGCACGTTACTTTTGGAAAGGACCTTTTTTCTTTGTAGTTTGAAATTTCTTAAGAGGGAAAGAGAACAATCTTGTTTGCTGGTTCACTCCTCCAGTGCCTACAAAGACCATACCTGAGCCAGGACAACCCAGGGGAACAGGAACCCTGTTTCCCAGCTTGGTGGCAGGAATGCAAGCACTTGAGCCAACAGCGCTGCTCCCAGTGTTCATTAGCACATGTGGGAACAGGAAGCTGGGGGTGAGAGTTCAACTGGCACTTCGTGATGCAGTGTGGGTGTCCTAGCTGGCAGTTTATCCTCTGAGTTTAACTTTTGCACACTCCAAACAAGGGCAATTCAAGTTCCATTTCAATCTCAAATGTTTGGCCATCGCAAAATTCATGGGTTGGAACTAGAGGATAACTAACTGGGTGTACATTTTGAAAATATATGCAGTTTCTTCATAACATAGATTTCCCATGAACTTGTTAAGCATTTCTAGTATTTTCCTAAGCGAAAGAACAACAATGATAAGCATGACCCAGCCTGGTTCCTGCCTTCACAGTGCTTCGAGCATAATCAGGAAAAAACAGAGTGTCATCAAAAACTGTGGGTGAGCATCCAGCCTTGTGATAAGACACCCACACCTCCATTTTTGGCTCCAGCTGTGGATTCGTTTCCTGCTCATGCAGACCCTAGAGGAAGCAGTGCCAGCGTTTGGCCTCCCACCACACGTGTGCTGTACACAGACTGATGTCCCAGATTCTGCCTGTCGTCTGACCACCCTGTGCCTTGTACACACTTAGGGAATGGACCAATGCGTGGCAACATGGTTGCTTTCCTAAACTGTCTCAAACAAATACATGTGTGCTTTAAATATACCTAAGCCTACACATAAATACTTACATAACTCTATTCTTCAAAGAAAAATCAGATGTTGTTATGAAGGCCTTGAATGGAGGAAATTAGTTTGTTTCATAAATCAGAAAGATGTTGCCAAAAAAGTGACATCTGAGTTGGGATGTGGGGAAGGTTGACAAGTGTTTAAGTGACAGGGGTGGGGAGGTGTGGAAAAACACTCAGAGGGAAGAGGCTGTGCCAAGGCTGCACGGGAGAAGCGCAGATGGCATATTTGAGAAACTGAGGGAGGCCTGTGTGGCTACAGAAGAGAAAGCAGGAGAAGGGGTGGTCGGTGTAAGGAGCCTTTCCAGTGAGACTTACACGTTGTGCTAAAAGATCAGTCTTTTAAATCATTAAAATACTTTCAGTAAGTGGTACAACATGATTAGATTTACATTTTGCCTATTCCTCTTTGGCTGCTGTGGAAAGCAGATGAAAAGTGAGGCCGAAATCTACGAACGTGAACTGATGAGGAGGGTAACCTTCTGGAGAAGCTCATGTGTTGTCAGGGCGAAAGTGGTGGAGAATACAGAAAAACGAAAGAGGTTGCTAACAGGTGAAACTCATAAGGCTTCATGCGCTGCCACAGACTGAATGATTGCACTCATCCATACCATATGTTGAAACTAAATTGCTAAAGTGATCAAATTTGGAGGGGGTGGGTGGTCTTTGGGTGGCAATTAGGTTCCAAATGTGGAGCTCACATAGAGTGAGGTGGAATTAATGCCGTTACGACAAACTCGGTGAGCTCCCTTAGCCTTTTTGTTAAGTGAAAGCAAAGCTGGAAGACGGCCAGCTATGAACAAGCAAGTAGGCCGTCATCAGAAACCAGAACTGCAGGTGCCGCGCGCATGGAATCCACAACCTCCGCAGCTACGAAAAACAGCTGTCCGTGGTGTGTTAACCAGTCTGCCCATGGCACTCCATTAGAGCAGCCTAAACATACTGGAACAAAAAGGAGCTGTAAGAGTGCTGTCTTGAGGGCTTCCTTTAAAGAAAACTCTTGATTTTGACACTAAGTTCTATCATGAACTTAACTAGTAATCTAACCTATTATGAATTTGAATTTTACAAAACTACAATCTGGAATTATAGCAGTAAGCAAATGAAATGTGCCTAGTACCTCACTGCCCAGCATGTGATCAATAAACACAGAGATGATAACCATTATTGTTGTCATTATCATTATTATTATCATTATTATTATTATTATTCATGCATCTAAAGTTGGAAAACAGAAAAAAAAAAAAAATAGGGCTCTATTTCATTCTGTACTAGCGTGATGGAGCCAGGACTCTGGTTCCTGAGAACAGCAAAGCATAATCCCCAGAGAGATGCCAGGGAAGGAACCCAATTTCCCTTTCCGCCAAGCCCGTGCTGTGTCCTTCCCTTTGTCTTTGTCTAACGTGATTTCTCTGACACAGTCTTGCTCTTTATCTAATGTAGCCCACACTCTCCCTCTGCACCAACAGGAGGTATGGAAGAAGAACCAGGATTGCAGTTGCTTTAAGCTCTGCCTTATCCAAATACCTGAATTACCATGTTCCGTATATTTGTAAAACAAAACCATTGTGCCCATATGAAGTGAACAAATAATCGTTTCTATCATTTCTATTTTATGTACTTATGCTAGCATCATGGCCAAAACTCCCATGGTTAAAATTTGGTGCTGATGGAACAAAAGAAGCAGCCAGGGGTCTTACCAGAGGAGTTTTTCACTCTGAAGAATCTCTATACAACTCAGCAGGTGGGTCCCTTCTCCCACCCTCTCCCTTGGCTCTTAAGTCTCTTTGAAACCTGTCTCTGGGCTCTGCGTGCAGTAACTGATGGTCTGACTGGGTTTTACAAGGCTTGAGAGCCTCTTGCTAAACAATGCCCTTAAATGCAGTCCTTGCTATCTGCTTCTGACACAGCAAAAGCAGACGGAGAAGGAAGTCCTGCTTTGTCCTGGCAAGGACGCCTC